CAGTGTGTTACATTGACCAATCCCCTCCCCCGGACAGCCGGGTGACGCATTGGAATTCCTTAAAGGAGAACTATGAGATGAGTGATTTCTCTCACCTCATAGTTCTAGCCGACCTGTGACAATGACCTGTCACAGGTCGGCTCAGTAGATCGGGAGGTGAGCGAACAGATACCGGCGTTCGCTCACCTCTCGATCCTGTCACGGCTCTCTGCCGTGACAGGGGAGGGGCTGGATTCCCCGCTCCGATCCGCCAGCGCTGACTGGCGGAACGGACAGGGGAGGGGGCGTGTACAGCTGGCTCTGCCTCTAGATAGGCAGAGCCAGCTGTCACTCACGCAGCTGGGCGGATCTCGACATTGATGTCGGGATCCGCTCCGGCTGCAGCGTCTCAGTATACCGCGAGCTGTAGCTCGCGGTATACTGAGCTTAGGGTAACGGGTGGACGCTAGTTTGTATCCTCCCGTTACCCTAAGGAGAACTATGGGGAAAAGCCCTGACCCCATAGTTCTCCTTTAAGCACAGCCACTCTTTGAACCCAATGAATGATCTTAATTAGATAAGAGCTTGATCCCATCATCCCAAACAATGGCCATCCCAGACAGCCTGGTGCCTTCACAAAATTACGTTTAGCAGAGATGGCATCAAAACAAGATGGAAGCCCGGATGGTTCAAATCAAGTCAAATAGTGAAAAGCACTCTCTCTAGATAAAATATTAAACAGGAAAACACACACAGCAAACAAAGCTCTCCGGGGTAATAAATCTCTGCAGCCCTAGGTCCGTAGTCAGCAGGAAGGAGGCTAGCCCTCGGGCTCCTCTAACAGCCCCTGTGACGGTTCAGTCCGTTACATACTTGATGTAAAAAAACAGGGGTTACTGAATTTATGCATCTGGGGCAGGGGGAGGGTGGGCTAGGTTAGGTTAGGTAAAGTAGGGCTAGCTAAAAGGATGAGCACACTTTGTTTTACAGTGCACTTATCCTTTCGGGATATGTTGCAGTAATGAACAATTACATTTAAGTAACTGAGTTATATTTTTATATACTACAACTACTACTACTACTACTAATAATAATAATAATAATAGGAAAAATATTAAGAGGATAACAATTATTGTTTGGCTATTGTTCAGTAGTCTTTTCTGAGCATTGAATTGTTGCAAAACACACTTTTTTTATTAGCTTGGCGCTGTATTTTTTGTGCACTAGTATAAAATTAGACATATTACAGAATAAAGGATAACTGCAAGGTGTCCTAACGTTTTCACAACCTTAAATATAGTGACATGATCTCATGTAAAATGTTCTATAGAGGCTTTCTGCCCATTTCCTCTAGTCATGTCTCTTGAGTACTACTCATTTCCTGCAGAGGAGGATGTGGCCGGGAAGGTGAAAGAGTATTGGCAGAGTGAAGGTGTTATAGTATGCTATGTAGCAGCATGTCCAGCCAGATTATGATTAAAGGAGCGAAAGAAAAAAATAGTAAAATACTATACAGCATTGCTTTCTTCAAATCAGCAGTGTTGTCATCCCATTCATCACACATCTAGGTGTATTATTTCTCACTTAAAGTGTATTTCTACTTTGCAGGCAAACTTGCCTAATAACTATTTTATATTTGTTACATGTTCCCTGTCACATAGCATAACTATTTTAAAAGTTGCTGCTTACCTTTTTAATTGCTTAACTGGTTGAGGAACGTAAATATATGGCAGCATCCTGAAGCAGTTATACCAAGATCACAGCTGTTGCAGGCAGCTGTACAGCCACCTGATCTCTTGTACAGTGCCAGGGAGTGTGCTCCCCACCCAGCCGCTGGCTACGTACAGGCTTCGCTGTCCCGGGACTGGCACAGCAAGTCTGTGCACTTCGATCACTGCTTCATCAGCTTCTTTGGGGTCCATAGGGGACATTAGGGTTCTAGTAGACCCCTGATGTCTCCCAAAAGAGGACCATTCACATCCTCTTTGCCATTAAATAGGGGCTTGATAGCCCCTTATGTGATAGCAATAAAGTTGAGCGGAAAAAAAAAAGATAAGAAATTAAAGTCGCATATAAAAAAAAATGTGAAAACGCAAAAAAAAATTCTGCCCCCACATACAAATACAAACATGCGTCAGGTGCCCCTATGTGTGAAAACGACGATTGCACCACACATGTTACATATCACCGTGAACATCTAGCTTTCCCTTACCTTGCAATGTTAAGGAGGGGGCTGAGGAGTTACTGTATGTTTAAGATAATCAACCCTTTATGTCAGGGGTGCCCACAAGGTCGATCGCGATCTACCAGTCGATCGCGTAGCGATCACTGGTAGATCGCACTGTCCTCTCCTCCTGCCGCTTCTCTGGATTCCCGCTGCTCTCCCCAGCGGGGATCCGAGAAGAAGTGAAGGAACCGGCGGCGGGGGAGGGCGGAGGACGGAGCCGCTATCACATTCCCGCCCCCTGAATGCAGATGTTTTTTCGTTGGTAGATCTCAATGAGCTAGTAATTTGAAAAGTAGATCTCCAGACGAAAAATAGTGGGCGCCCCTGCTCTATGTACTGTGTTGTACATGGATCGGTGGGTGCCGAATAACTAGTTTCTGGTTAATAGTAACTCTCAAGCAAAAACATAACCGCTAAACACAAAAAAAAATGCATTCCAATGTGCATTGTTCAGACTATTGTGGCGTCCGCGTCCCGCAAAATAGTCCAAGTGTGGTTTTAGGGGAGGATTTCGTACATTTGCGCGAATCCGCACGTATGTAAAAATGCCATATGGCCCCTTACTGTACAATGCTTAATGATTTTTCACTTGTATATTGTTAATTCATCCGAGCGATGTCTGGAACTTTATAACGTCTAATGTGAAGTTTGTTTACTAATTTCCTAGTTGCTGCAAGCACCCGTAGCCAGGAAGTACCAGTAGCCAGACACACAATACTGCAACCAGTGGAACTGAGCAAAGAAAATGTTATTTTTGTAGGCACCTTTAAGCTACTAAAATCCCAAATTAGCTGGATTAAAGCAGAACAACGAACACACATTTTTATTAACCCTTGCATTGGGGCCACCTCTACGGTTCATTTGTGTCGAGGTTTAAAAAAAAGTTATACTCACCTGATTCTCGGAGCCAGACGGCTCTTAGGCTAGCCCCTGGAGAGTCTCTCCCCTTCCATTGAAGTGGTCTAAGGTCCCTTAGTTATCACGTTCTGTGTATAGGACATGAGGATGCCGATGGACATACCAACGCTGCAGCAGAGGAGAAGACAGACTGGAGGGAGAACTGCCGGCTCAGAGGATCGGGCAAATATAACTTTTTTTTTTAGACTAGACAGAAACGAGCATTTAACTCGTGCAGTGCATGGGTAGCCCCACTGCAAGTGCTAATAAAATTTGTGCTCTGTAGTACATTTAGGGAAGACATGCAATGATTTTATTTCCTTTTTTCTTCTTTGTTCTTATTGCTCCCATCATTCTTTTTCCTCATGTGTTCTAGCCTCTTGCCAAAGGAAGGAACTGTTGTAGTGAAGAACGGTGCTGTCATATACTGATTCCGACTCCAAATCCTCGGTAATGTCATTTTCAGAATTACTTTTTTTTAAATATTTAAATGATTCAGTTTTGTGAAACAAGCGCACATAGAAGGAGTGTTCCCTGATTTTGTAATTTTGAAGTATTTTATGGATATATTAAATAAAGTACAAAGAACCGGTAGTAACATTTTCAGGCAATACTCCTCCTAGGTAATGCCGTGGCTTACGTGGCAGGCCTGTATGTGAACACCTCACCCACTGATACTGTAGCGGTCAGGGTTGATTTAAAGGATAAATGTACCTTTGGCACAAGCTGACCACCTGGTCCTACGCTCACCTTCTTTCCCGATCCAGCGAAATTTACTGTACAGTACTATTTCTTCCTATGAGGCCCTCCTTACCATCTTGTCTTAAATTGTATTGTGACTGTAATGTCTTCCTTATATTGTAAAGCGCTGTGCAAACTATTGGCGCTATATAAATCCTGTATAATAATAATAATAATAATAATAATATGAGGAGCTGTACTCAGGATGGCCTGTAGCGGTCCTGCAGAGCAGGGTTCGCCGCATAGAAATGAATGGGGCTGTGAGGAACCAGTAAGGAAATTTTTCAGACGCAAGGTTGTGCAGTGCCTGGGGGTTCCACACAGTGGTGATTGCTGGATTGAGGACGAAGGCGAGTATCTATTCGGTATCTATTTAACTGACTTGACCCTTTCTTTTATATTTTACCCTTAAATTGGTATTATTAATATTGCAACTAGCGTTTTCTTTTATTCTACAGGACCTCTGCTTTCAGAAAATATATAATTGTTTGGGGGTTTTAGGCTGTTTTCTATCCACATATTCGGAATTTATTGTGTGTGTAAAAAATTAAGAAATTGCTCCGGACTGGGATTAAAGAAGAACTCCAGGATTATAGAACAGAGTATCCTTGCAGTGGGGCTAACTGTGAGGCTTAGCTGCTTGTTTTGTTCTACAAGCAAAAATAAAGGAAAAATACTCACCTGATCCTCAGTCCTGCTTGGCTGCCAGACTGGTCCCTGTAGCCTCTTATCCCCTGGGGGTTTCCAGTGGTCTAAAGACTCATGAGGTCATGACGTCTAATGCAGCACTGAGGGTCAGGTGAGTATATTCTTTTTATTTTAGCCCCAAAACTAGCACTTAACTCTGGCAGTGCAGGGGTAGCCCCACTGCAAGGGTTAATTTTTAGATTTCCAGGATTTCTTCTTTAAGTGCTCCTTTTGTCTAGGAGACTCAAATAAGCTGATTGGTTGCCATGGGCTTCTGCTCCAGATTCTGTCTGCTCCAATTTTGATAAATCCCCTCATTATATTCATAATACATAATAAAGGAATAGAATTAACATTTTGTTCAAGAGCAACTGGTGTCATTTAGAGTATCAATATCCCGCATTATGACAATGTAATTGCCTTAAGACTACATGGTTTTACTTATTTTTCCTTCCAGAATATTCATACCATGAATAACAGAGGAGACTTATGGGCAGAAGAGCGTTTACCCAGCTTCAGGGAAAGAAATCATGAAGGCACTGTTCAGCCAGATGATGATAGGATCTACGTCATGTATCATGGCACTACATCTTCTGCCGCTGAGAACATCATCAAGAACGGATTTGAACAGTCACCAGATGGCATGCTAGGAGAAGGTGTCTACGTTAGTAAAAATAAAGAGAAAGCTCTACGTTACCCCTTAGAAGATGAAGATAAAAAATACCAGGTTGTTTTGAAACTCAGGGTTAATGTAGGTAAAGTCATAAGAATTGACTATCAACAGCACCCTCTGCGAACCAGTTGGCATGATCATGGCTTTGATACAGCCTGGGTACCTCCATTTTGTGGTATGGTTGAGAGTAACCTAGAGGAAGATTGTGTTTGGGATCCCGAGAGGATCAAGGTTGTTGGTGTAGTCCATGCTGCTCAAGCTGGTGTACAGAAAGATCTTAATGGGTTAGTTAAAAAGTATGCAAAGTAAGGGGGACATCTTCCAAAAAAAAAAAAAACAGAACAGGAAGGTATGAAAGAACTCCACTTTCACAAAAAAAAAATATATATAGCATATACAATTGTCATAAAAGCCATTTTGAAAATGTATATCATTAAAATGTTCCTTTGCATTTGAATCTGCAGCCATTGTGATTTTATTTAAACTGTGAAAAAATAAAATCTTACTCCCGTGCAATATGGCAGCCTGAGGGTACTTCATAAACTGTATGTATGAATACAGATCTTCCCAGACAAATCACTGCTTTCCACAGATGTCTGTAGGGAGCTACAAATACAGTTGCAGGCATCCCCTGCCATAAGAGTGCCAGTTTTGGTAAGATACCTTATAAGTTAAGTTATAAGTAAACTCACCCTGCAAGGGCCGCTGGAATATACGGGTCTTCTGTCCCACACCAGTGATGACTTACCCTTACCTGGATCCAAGTGACACCAACACAACGTTTAAAATGGTCTTTATTGAAACTAGCAATAAGCCCTGGAAAGAGATAAACTGGTTAACAGAATTGACAATATAAAAATCAGTGATGCAATACAACAACAACAACAACAGCAAAGTAAGTAGGATTGTTGTTCGTTCACTTAAACCGCCAGTGGAAGGACTTGTCTGAAATGCACTGAGCGAGTAGTGAACGAATTTGTCAGTTACACAACACAGAAATACTGTTCAACAAGTACAAGTCATAAGAATTGATCATCAAGGGCACCCTCTGCAAAAGACATGGCATAAACTTGGCTATGATACAGCCTGGGTACCTCCATCTTCTGGTATGGTTAGGAGTAACTTAGAGGAAGATTGTGTTTGGAATCCCAATAGGATCAAGGTTGTTGGTATAGACCATGCTGCCCCAGCTGTTGAAAGGCAATATCTTAACCAGTTAGTTCAACTGTATACAAAGTAAGGGTGACATCTTCCCAAAAAAACAAACAAAACTGGAAGGTATGAAAGAACTCCACTTTGACTAAAAACATATATAGCATATACAATTGTCATACAAGCCATTTTGAAAATGTATATCATTAAAATGTTCCTTTGCATTGTAATCTGCAGTCATTGTGATTTTTTTTTAAACTGTGAAAAAAAAAAAAATCAAATTTCTTGATGAACCGGCCCTAATTCTCACATTGGGTGCCGCTGTCAGCATCCTTTCCACCGTCATACCTTGATCAGCCGATCGAAGGAGCCAGTTGGAAAATGTTCAAACAAACAGAGCCAGCAGCCAATGAGCTGCCGCCTCTGTTCTATTATTCTGACAGCAGCCAGGGGCCACCAGCAAAATACAATGCAAGCAGCAGGAGATTCTTCGATCAATGCTCGTAAGCGTGTAATCTGTAATAAAGACTAAATAAGGGAGGAGCTTGGGATCAAACTGAAAAGACAGCAGTGTTGCTACATGTAGTAGGAGAGTGTAAACTCTTTGAAAGCTTTTTTTACCATCTATGTATGTAAGTACATTTTTTATATTAAACTTTATACAATTCATAGAGTGCACTATGGAGTGTCCATCTTTTGTCTCCATCTGCTGAAATTTTTGTTGATACCACTGGGGAGCGATTCCACCAAAGGAGAAGTATGTCCTTATAGTGGAGAAAGAAAGAGGAAATCTTTTTCGCTGTGGAAACACGTGGTATTTTCCCACCTCAGATTGAAAAGGGAAGTGGCTTTTTCAGACCTTTATAACGTATTGGGAGTGGAAAGTGGAGATCACAAGGAGCACAAAGGGATTATATAATCACCAGTTAATTGCATTCACTTTTGTATTGGAGGCACTATTGACTTTATGCTGTATGATATATGTGTAGCGCTCACCCCCGTAGGAGCCGCTGGATGATCGGGTCTTCTGTTTCACCTCTGTGACACACCACAAGCAATGAACCCACAGCACACCAGCACACCTTGTGAAGTTTTATAACAGATTTAATGACTATGGAATAGAACAAACACTTAACGGCTCCCCAATCACATGTAATACAACCAATAACAGGATAAGGCAATCTGACACGCAGCAGCAGTCTGTTGCATGCAGGAAAGCCTGCAATGTCAGAATGTCTCAGATAATATACTTAGATTGAATGCAATCAACATTGATATCTCTACTTAAAAGTATCTACTCCACTCTAAACTACTGGCCAGTAGTACTGTCCTAGGCTAGCCAACGTTGGGGCCCTTGCTGTATAGCAGATGTGAACAATAAACAGGGTGTCACTGCGGCCAAAGGCCTCTCACCACTCCTCAGATCAAATGGGAAGAGATGAAGTCTGCTGGTGGAAGCTGGGTGTTCTCTCTCTCTCTAGTCGACTCTGGGAGGAAGGTGAAGTCATCTGGGTCCCTTGTAAGAAGTTTTCACTCACTCAGGATACTGGCAGTCGTCTCCCTCTGGATGGCTGGATCACCCCAGTGGCTGGTTCGGCAGTGCGACTAGGCCTCGATGTCCTTTGCGTTAACCAAGTCACCGGACCTCACTTCAGGCACTCGATCGGGTCCTCTCCGATTCAGCAACTCAGATCAGTCTCTCTATAGACGGCTGCACAGAGCCTGTGTGTCCCTATATGTCAGCGGTGACAACACAGCTCTGTTTCACACAGTCTTAACCCACACAGGGTTACACAGGTCTGTCCTCTTCAGATGGCTGTCCCAGACTGAGGCTGCTCTGCAGTTGCAACCCATAAGCCTCCTGTTTCCTTCCCCACAGCCTCCTGGGTAATGCAGTTCTCAAAAATCCTTTCAGCAAACGTATCCAAATCAGCTCTGTATACAGTCTCCACAACCTGTGCTCTCTGGCTCCACCTGCAGCTGCAATATCCTTTCTCTTAAAGGAGCTGAAATCACAACAGGGCTACATATGCATCACGGTGGATGTCCTTGTAAAGAGAACTTCTATCATCTCATTTTGCTGCTATTAGTATTTAAATAATTTTTTTCCACCTGTTTTTAAGCACTTCTAATTGACACTATTATATATACAGATCTTCCCAGAAAATCACTGCTTTCCCCAGATGTCTGTAGTGATCTACAAATACAGTTAGAGGCATCCCCTGCAATAGGAGTGTCAGTTTTGGTAAGGCACATTATAAGGTTTATCCACGCCTAAAGGGATTTAGACACTGCAGATTGTCCTGTTACAGCACTGATATAAACGTGACTGTGTTCAGGTGGTTATTCTTTTGTAGGAATATAATTTTCAGTCTTATAGAGATATTGCTACGTTTCCCAAGTAGCGCAAAATGACAGAGTCTATGCAAAGCCCAACCTAATCACTTTATTCTCACCTCTCCAGTGTTCCCTCACTGCTCTTTCTTCGATCGGCTTGCAGTGCGGTTGAAAGTGCATGCACTGTTTTTTCAATTGCAACGCATGGTATTTGCTGTACAGTGTGTTGACATGCAATGTACCTCCTGCACCGTAATAAAATGGGAGGTGTGCCTTGTGGTACTGTGCATCAATTGCACGGAAAGTGAAGGGGACCCTAAAGGTGGCCATACATTGTACAACCATCGCAAGACGATGGTTGTAAAGTACTTAAAAAAACGTACGATCTGCCCATCTTGGACAGGCAGATCGTACTTGCGATCATCGCAAGCCCGCCCCTCAAGGGCTGCAAAGGGACTGCAATGAGAGGCGGGCTTGCGAGGATGGCAAACGGGCCCGTTCGTCAGTTGTCGAACAAGCAGGCCACTCACTCGCCGAGAATCGTACGATTCCCGGCGGGTTTTCCAGCCTGCTTGTTCGATGGAAGACGTGCGACCGTACAGTAGAAACGGTCGCACGCCTTCCATACACTGCATGATTCTGGTACGATCGCGGGATTTCCCGCGATTCTCGTACGATAATCGTGCAGTGTATGGACACCTTAAGACAGCATTGGACCTCCTCCCATGAGCAGTACTTGGGCTTAAGGATCCATTCACACCATGTCCGGACCAGAACCAGACCAGAACAGAACATTTTTTTGTTTGGCCCATAAAGACATAACCATTAATTCCTATGAAAAAAGTGAGACAAGTTCACACCACTGCCTTCCGTTTCAGAAAGTTTAAAAAAAAAATACTGCATGCACTTTTTTCTCTGGTCTGGAAAGCACCAAAATACATGTAAACGAATGTATACACAGTGGAACGCACTAGAAAGTCAATTGAGACAAAAAAGCACTGGAATGCATCAAAAACACACATGACCAGATCTGGTCCGGACACGGTGTAAATTGGCACTAACAGCCAACTCCCAAGCATCCTCACATGACCACTCCCTCTGAGCTATGACAGTAGGTCAGTGATGGCGAACATATGGCACGTGAGCCAAAGAGGGCACACAGACGCCCCTCTGGTGGCACGGAAGCCTAGGTGCCAGTTTCCAGGGCACGCACAATCCAGGTGCTCAACTGGGATGCTCCGCGTGGGCCTCCAGTGTTCCATGGGACTCCAAGTCACATTAAGTTTTTAAAGATCCATCTTTAAACCTGGCAGGTGCCCGGATCCTATTTAATATATTGCCGAACCATTAAATGAAAATCATCTTGTGGTGGTCCAGTAGAGGATCAGTATGATCTGCAGCTTTTGCTGATGCAGACCATACTGATCGCTCCCTTGTGGTGCCGCTGCTCACAGGCAGGAGCGATAAGTATGGTCTGAATCAGCCAGAGATGCAGATCACACTGATCCTCCACTGGAGCACCAGGGTAATCCCCAAGTGCCCCACTGGACCCCAGGGATGCCGCCCCCTCCCTACAAAACAGGTAAACAGGAGAGGGGGCAACTTTTTTAATATTCATTTTTGTTGTTAATAGTTGTGTGTAGGATGTGTGTTTTATTGAATGTGTGTTTTTGAAAAGTGTGTGATGTGTGTGTTTTATTGAGTGTGTGTTTTTAAAAAGTGTGTGATGTGTGTGTTTTATTGAATGTGTGTTTTTGAAAAGTGTGTGATGTGTGTGTTTTATTGAGTGTGTTTTTAAAAAGTGTGTGATGTGTGTTTTTTTTAATGTGTGTGTGATGTGTGTGTGTTTAAATGCGTGTGTCATGTGTGTGTTTCATTATGGGTGTGAGTTTTTTTAATGAGTGTGTGATATGTGTGTGTGTTTTTAATGAGTGTGTGATTTGTGTGTAATGTGTGTTTCATTACATGTGTGATGTGTGTGTTTTATTGAGTGTATAAATGTTTGAATATGTGATGCCCTATTTTGCGTAAGGCAGTGATGCTGAGCGTTATTTAAACCCTGGTGCCCATACTACAACGCAATACCAAGCGTCTTTTCAGTGTTGGCACTTTGAGATAAATAAATTGATTTTGTGTTGAAAATTGACCGAGTTTTGGCACTCGGGTTCAAAACCGTTAGCCATCACTGCAATATGTATTGGTATCAGCCATCTTGCTCAATTGTGCCCTCGCCATTCTGAATTGATCCTATGTAAATGTTATGATAACAATTTACACAGAAGATTTATATGTCCTGCATGAATGGAAATATAGGGGTCTATTCACGAAGCTGCCGAAGGATCCGGCCGTAGCTTTGGCCGATCCTTCGGCCAGCTTCGGCCCCAGGAACCGAAGGGGTGCTGTACGGGCTATTCACAATAGCCTGTACAGCTCCCGAACATGGCCGAGCGGCTCAGTCGAGCCAAAAGCATATGCATCGGCTCGGCTGAGCCGTGCTGAAAGCCGAAGCTGGCAGAGCGGCCGGCCATTGGCCGGCCGACAGCCTGCTTCTGACAGCTGGGCGGAGCCAGCCGTGATCTTACGGCTGGCTCCGGCCACTTGCAGAGAGATCAGCGTCCCTGGTTACCTGCTAACCAGGGACACTGATCTCCAAACAGCTAACTCTCCCTGGCGCCCCGGGAGTCTCCTGCTAAATGGTATATTTAGTCCTGGTTCACAGTGAGTGTTTTCTAACGCTTTTTCTGCCATACAAAATGCTCCAAATATCGACCCGAAAAAAATCCCATTCAATTCTATGTGTGTTCCCATCTGAGCGTTTTGTCTCAATAAGAAAAACACCTGTATCTGGAAAAAACACAGGAGCTTTTTTGGGCATATTACAGCTTGTTTTGGCCCCATAGACTCAATGGGAAATGCTTGAAACGGCCTTTTGCTGTGTTTTTGCGCGTTTTAATGCTCTTTTTCTCATTAACATCAATGAGCAACAATCTGCTCACAAAAACTCGCTTTTTGTTGTATGTGCATAAAATGCACACATTAAAACGCACAAAAACGCTTTCGCCTATGTGTGAACCAGGCCTTAAAGGATAAGTGGGGGCCAACCTACACAAGGAGAGAGAGCAGCAGTGACTGGTCTTGATAAAGGTGGCCATACACTTTACAACCATTGCAAGAACTTAGTCTTGTGATGGTTGTAAAGTAATTAAAAAAACCCTTCCTGGGTATTGGTTTCCGATGACCGCAATGCTGAACCGGCGGTGTGCGCGTGCACACACCGGCCCGTGCGGCATTGATCTTACGATCATGCTAAAAACCAGCCGAAAATCATACGATTCTCGGCTGGTTTTCTAGCATGCTCCTTAGACAAAAGACCTGCGACCGTACCGCAAAACAT